CCATATAGTTTTTTAAAATCTTATAAAATTCATATTGTCCTTTCAAATCTTATAAATTCTATTAAAATCCTTTAAAATCCAAACTTATGAAATCTTGATTGTAAAAAAATGTCTTTTAAAAAAGTCTTTAAAGTCCGTCCAATTCTAAATAGTCTTTTAAAATCTATAAAAAAAAATTATCTCAAAAAGATCTTCCAAAATCCTAATCCAATACACACCCTTAGTAATATATACTAATATCAATTTATAAACATAAAAAGACAAAATATATACTTTATATTATTAAAAAAGTTAAGATTAAGAAAAAAGCTATGAAACTTTTAAAAAAAGGATAAATAAATCTCATGTTGTAAGAATAACCATCTCTCATGTCATTGAGAGCTCGATTTCCGTGTTAATATTTTCTTTCATTTTCTTTTTTTATTTAAACTAGTGGGTCCACTTGATTGTGTGTGTAGGAGAAAAGTTCATCTCATGTTGCATGAGAAAATGCAACCCATTTAAAAAATGCCATATATATGAAATTTAAACAACATTCCCATCTTGAAATTCTTTGTGCAGCTCATGGTGTAAACTGAAATCATCGTGACCTGACTTGAAAACTCAACTTTCAAAATCAATTATATTGACTTATATCCTTTTCCCTTTACTCGTTCTTTGTCGGGAAAATGAATGGTTGAAGCCGTTAGGGCCTCAAACTACGAGGAATTTAATATTTCTTTTTGTTGATTGTATCATTAAACTATTACTTTTACATAAACTCATATCTCATATTCTATCATTTCGAAAATCACACCTTTTTTTTTAGTGGTGGGTCCCACTTGAATTCTCTCTACAGCATGAGAGAATTACTCTCATGTAACATGAGAGTAATATTTTCTCACATTTAATATTAAAATATATCTGTCAAGTGAAAATATCACCTGAAAACAATCTTTCCTTCGAACTCCACCCAAGTTAAATCAGACGCGCCCATTCTGCCATCTAGTTAAAAGGTGTCTGCACTGCAATACACTATATCGTTATCCGCCTATACCAACTCTGACAGTTTTCTACCAAAAACAAAAAACTTGATAGTTACAACTTACAACTCAGGAATGTACCAAAAGAAAATTTAGACGGACCAGTCTTCTATGCAGTGTGCAAACGTGCTACAATCTTATAATATATATCAGATGAATAATAAAACACATTTTAATTTTATCAAGTCATACAAATATAAAACAATGTATGCCAAGCTATATTCATCATCTAAATACTTAATTGATAATGTTGATTTAAAAATAATAGTAATGAAGAGGACAATTAGATGAAGAATACAAGCAACACCTGTATTATCTCACAAGAGGTTTAGCTATAAGCTTGGTGGACCCAGATGACAAGTTAATTTGTCGTCTTTTTTAAAAGCTTCCATCTTAATTAGTTCAAAAATCAGTAGCACATAGTTTACTATATTATTTGAGACGAGTAATATTGCTATATTTTTTAACATAATTTATTAACAGTCTTTTAGTTATTTAAAACAGAAAAACATATTTTCACAACAACAAAAAAGAAAAATATTAAATGATAAAATAAATGTATTTTGCATCCTAAAAACCTAAAAAGCATTTCATTGATATTTTCTTCTTTTATTAATTATTTTTTTAAGAAATAATATAATTCGGGACAAAGATCCCTAGAATTTTAAAATATAGGGGAAAAATATATTATCTAATTAGTACAGTAACCATAACACTTTCATCATTGATTTTTGGCGGGAACTATTTAACACCATTAATTATCAGTTTTTGATTTTAGACCACTTTAATTATCAGTTTTTGATTTTAGACCACTGCTTTGTTGAACATTCTCTATTATTTTCGTATACTCGCATGTAATGTAATAAGGCCACGTAGAAAAATGAAGTGTGTGTGAGAGAGAGAATAGAGTGTAAATGAGTGAGGTCAAACTTTAGCCTAAATGAGTTAGGCATGTATACATTATTTCAAGTTTAGCTTAGCTTATTATATAGTCTCATATAAGCCGTATTATAAATTTGGTCCGATTTATTTTTAAAAAATACAAGATTTGGTCTGACTTATCAATCATACCAAGTCTTCAAAAATAATATATTGTACTTTGTAAATCATATGTTATAATTATTTTGTACAATAGTTGAACATAACCCAAAATATTAACCATTTAACTATGTTATTGAAAATAAAAAATAATTAATTGAATCGAATTGTATTGATTTTTATTACAAAATTAAATTTTAATTTAATTAAAATAAATTAAAATTTTACACATGCACATACACACATATATATATATATATATAATGAGCACAAAAGTATTTATTTTAAGATTAAACAAACATGATATTTTAACATAAGAGAAGCAACTACCAAATAAGGGAAAGCCAATCAAACTAGACTAATAAAAAGAATATCCCACCCAAAAATAGTTAAATAAATAAAGAGAAAGAAATAAAACAAATCACACATACACATATGTGTAACAAATTGAGCTCATTAAAAAGCTTGTTTAAAAATCAAGCCACAAACTTATTTTAGCAGGCTTGACCTCTAATCCTTTAAACATGGCTCGTACTTTTCAATAATTAATATTTTATTTTATTATTAATAAAATAATATCTTGTTATTTTTTAATAAAATAATATCCTATATTTTTTTATTTTTCTAACTTTTTACAATCTTTTATCTTCTCACTCGGCAAACGTATTTTTCTTAACCCTAAATTCCTTCGTTGCCACCGATTTTTTCTCCTCCGCCAAGTTTCGTTACTCTTTTGTCCCCTTTACAAATTCTCATACCTTCCAAATCATCTACCGACTCTCAAGACTTTCACAGTTAATACTTAATACTAAGTCCTTATTCTTTGTACTTTTTCCCTTTTGTTTGTCTCATTGACAAAATTATCTCTTTTCAAAATTTCCATTAAAAAAATAACATATTATTTGACTTATAAGTGTTGTATGCATTTACATATCTTGTTCTTGTTTGTTAAACATGTGTTTTTTTTTAATATTTCAATCGATTCATCGCTTCGAATAGTGACAAGTCCGATTCAGGGCAAACCTTTACTATTTTTAAAATAAGTCAAGCCAAGTCAGGCCAAAGGAAGGCCAAATTATAGGGTCCTGACGATCCACCTATCCAATTTTACACCCCTATTAATGAGTACCAAACTCTTAGGGTGTGCATGACAACCTTCTTAGAATCAGTTTTTTTTTGTTTTAATTTCTTATCTCAGAAACAGAAATAGATAGAAAACTTATTTGGTAAAATCAATTTATTTTTTTTGTTCTCAGGATGAACCGATTTAATTTTTGTGATGAAGAAAAAAGAATAAATTTTTTTTTGCTTTTTTGTTCCTGGGCACAAAATGAGAAACACTTGTCTTTTTCAATCACTTTCCACCACTACCATCATCACATGCAACCACCACCATCGTCGTTATTTAAAATCTCAATTTATCACTACGATTTTATGTTTTTATGATTTTTTTCATCAAAATGATTTTACCAATATTCCAAATGGTTTTACGTTTTTACGATTTTTTTACATTACAATTTTACGTTTTATGATTTCTTATACCCCTTTCGATTTTACGCAAAATCTCAATTTTAACAACCTTACTCGTACACCTATCGCCACCATCATTACCACTATGCCACCATCACCGCCACCACCACCACCATCATCGCAGTCATTGTCATCACCATGCCACCGCCATCACCACGACCACTACCTGTCAGGCGGGTCCAGGGGGAAGCCCGTGGCGGGGAGCCACCACCAATGAGTTAAGGCTACACCAACCGTAGCAAGTGGATCCGACACCATATCTCAACCCAAAACCTTAAGGTATTGGGTTCATGTTCCACTTATATACTCTTCACTTAGCCCATTACCAACCAATGTGTGACTCATCACACTTGAATATCCCAACAATCTCCCCCTCAAGTGTGAAACCCACCATTGGTATGCTCCCCCTCAACCGAGTACCCCAAGCACAAAGTACTCGACCCGCCTCCTAGCCAATCATCAGGCTAGCTCGAGCCCAACCCGACTCTGATACCAATGTCAGGCGGGTCCAGGGGGAAGCCCGTGGCGGGGAGCCACCACCAATGAGCTAAGGCTACACCAAACGTAACAAGTGGATCCGACACCATGTCTCAACCCAAAATCTTAAGGCATTGGGTTCATGGGTCCTTCCACTTATATACTCTTCATTTAGCCCATTACCAACCAATGTGGGACTCATCACACTTGAATATCTCAACACTACCATCTCCGCCACCATCACTATCATCGTCACCAACCACCATTATCATTGTCGCTTCTTTATGGGTATTATACGAACACTATATTCAAATATAAAAAAATATCATATGATATAGAACATGAAAAAGTTTACTAAATTTAAAATATTATATCAAAATTTAAATAAAATATGTATCGTCGACGGTGAGGATATATAGCTAAGCATGTCTCGTTTGAGGGCCCCACGAACCAACCCTTAAATTTCCAACAAAATTGATGACCATGTCAGCGGATGTGTGTCGCCGATCATCGCATGTAGCAATTAAAAAAAAAAAACAGGGACACGCACTTACGTGTTTGAAGGACAAGTACATCAGCTCCAAATATGGTTTCCACAGTGGGTCAGAAAATTCAAACTCTTTTACTCTTTTTGTTCTATGCGTTCTCCATTCAAATACCAAGTATTTTCTTGAGTCCACCATATACCCGCCGGACTTCCCCGTTGAAATTAAAGGCCGAAAGTTTAAAAAATATTGGGTCTTAAATGAAGGCCTTTTTCTCCAAAATTTACATTATATATACGAGTATACACACCCATCTTTGTCCCTCAACAATTAAAAACCCTCCTCCCCCACCACAAAATACACGAAACACAATTAAGAGACAAACAAGTTTCATTTGCAAAATACCAAAAAAAACAAAACAACATTAAGGTAACTTGTTGAAGGAGCCATGCAGCGTTTGCCAGCCATGTTGTGCCGCAAAGTTGTTCGTCCATCATGCGACGTCTTCATAAATCACCGTGGGATCGACACAAAGAGGAACATCGCGGGTTTGCTTTACGATAGTCTAACGAGGATGGGAGTGAGGTCCTTCTTAGACAGCATGAACATGAAACCAGGGGACAGGCTCTTTGACCATATTGACAAGGCCATTCTTGGATGCAAGGTTGGTGTCGCTGTCTTCTCTCCTCGTTATTGTGACTCATATTTCTGTCTCCATGAGCTCGCTCTTCTCATGGAGTCCAACAAGAGGGTTGTCCCTATCTTCTACGATGTGAAGCCGTCACAGCTTCTGGTCAAAGACAACGGAACATGCTCTGCTAAAGAGCTTCAAAGGTTCACTTTAGCACTCCAAGAAGCTAAAAACACTGTGGGATTAACCTTCGATTCCTTGAATGGGTATTCTTCTATTTCTTTTTTGGTTAATGTTTCCTCGTGGTTTAATTATGAACTTTATTTGAATTTAATTTTTATGGTTTTTCAGGGATTGGTCGGAGCTGCTAAGGGATGCTTCGGAAGCAGTGATCGTGAACTTGCTGGAGGTGAAGGAAGAAGAAAAGCGAATGAGGAAGTAACATGCAGTGAATACTTCAATGTTCATCATTGGATAACTATATAACATAAATTAATTCGTTTAATTTTTTATTTATTTTTTCGTATGTGGGATCTAATTGAAGATACCATACGCTCCCTTTAACATCACTCAATTTTTTGGCCTGAATTAGCTTAATCAATCGGTTCAGGCTTCAATTCATTTGTATTACTAGCTAATTAAATTCTCTTTTTTCTGCTTAAATTCAATAAATTGTAATTTATTTACATTCTCCGACATTTATTAATATATTTGTTTGCTGAGTACAATGAGAAATGTTGCAAAGTACAATCACAATTCACAACTAATATATTTGTTCAACATTTAATAGAAGCATATACATACATTTTATAATTGTCTGCTCCGAAGAATATTTCGTAAAATGCTGTATCAATACTGATATAAAAATAGAAACTAAATTATCAATTTAAACCCGTTATTCAAAATCGATTTCAACTGTTAAATTTGATGAATCGCATTTTTTTGCTTGTTCAATTACGAGTTTTTTTTTTTTTTTTTTTGGGGCGGGGGGCGGGGGCAGTTAAAGCTTCAAAACTGTTGCCATTAAAAATGAAAGTATGAAATGCAAACAATCAAACAATCTCTCTGCTGTTGACTGGTGTACGATTACGTGAATGTTTATAATTTATTATAAACGAATAATTATTTTTTAAAACCTTTCTGAAAAATTAAAAAAAAAATTAAAAAAAAAAGGTTTTCGTTTTATCGTTTAACATAACATAACAAATTTTCCTACCCTCACAACATTTTGTGGGGCCCACACTTTTTAAAACAAAAAAATAAATAAAAAATTATGGCACGCAAAACGAATCTCTATAACATTACACAATCACTTTTCCTACAACATAACTCTTATAAAACCCAAAAAAAATAGTCCAAACATGTACTGAGTTGTAAAATAAAAAATAGTTAAAACAGAGGGCGATTCATTAACGACAAATATCACGTATAACTTACGGGATTAATTACTTAACTCACAAGAAACCATCATTTGACGTTGCTTTGGTGAGTTTCTCGTAGTTACGAGTTACTACTTTTGTTACTAAATTCATATTTCTGTTCAGCTAAATCTTGTGGATTCAGATGAATCAAACAATAATTTTTTATTTTTAATTCCTTTTTCTTGTTAACATAGATTTTCAATCAAACTTCAATGTTTTTTTTTGGAATAAAAAAAACACATATTCCCCCCCGCCCATTTAATAAAGTCCAAGAAGTTTAATTTCTTTTAATAAAAAAAACTTGGGAGGTAAAATATATATCAACCAATTAAAGTTTAAAGAATTTCTTTTTCTGCATTTCTTACTCTTAAAAAATTGATTTCTCAATTAAAGAAAGAGTGAGGATATTTTTACTACCAAAAATTCGTATGTGTACTAATAAAGCCCGACATAGTTGGTAGATAGTTGAGTTTTTCAAGCATGCTGACTGACAGGGGTTCGATCCCTGATCGTGTGTATAGAAAAAGCTTTGTTGGGAGAGGCTATATCCACGATCGCGTGACCATTTCAGTTTGAATTTTTTTTCAAATCTGATCCGATCCGATCCAATCCAATTTTTTTGGTTTGGATTGAATCGTTTTTCGGTTTTTTGAAAATCCTAAAATTTGTTTCATAATTATTGTGCAAATAACATCTTTTATATATATTGACATTTGTAAAAAAAAATTGAAATACGAAAGCATCAGTAAATGATAATATAATTTTTTTTTGGCAATAAGATATGAAACTCTACACAAATGAAATTTTGTTAAATGAGATGTGACTAGATTTTTTTTTGGATTTAGTTAATGGGTCTTGGGTTTAGAAATATTTGGGCTATGGTTGGAGAAAGACTCAAGTAGATAGAGGGGAATTAATATATTAGATCGGTTTGGATTGGATCGATTTTCATCAACCAATCCGAAAACCGATCCAATCCAATTAAAATTTGCAATTTTTTTCGGTTTTTGATTTATTCGGTTATCGATTTTTCGGTTCGGTCACCGCGGTTTGAATCGGTTGATAAACATCCCTAATTAGTACTTGACTTTTGGCTAGAGATACCCTTTAAACAATTTCCAAAAAAACAAAAATTCGTATGTGCCTTTTATTTTCTAAGATTAGTGTACCGAATAATTAAAACTCTTCGACTCTTACACATAATTTAGAGGTAGAAAAATGGCAGCCCAAATCTGCAATTTAGAAATGGTTTGAAAATATCAATACACCCTATTTTATCGCAGCTTGGCCGGACAATCTATTTAAATAATAAAAAATCAAAAACTTAAAATAAATCTTATTTTATGAGTTTTATAGTGTTATCTAATTTCAACTCCACTCTCATTCATTTTGTCAATTCCCAATCTAAATATTTGTTAATACTTAGTTTGACAGTTTTTAAGAACTCATTTTTACAGCCATAAATGAATAACATTGATTATAAATCAAGTGTTTTTTTCTTTATCTTTTGTAAAGGAAGATAAAATCTTAAATATCACGGAAGTTTGGCATGACAAAAAAAATGCTACCTTACACTAAAAAAGATTGCGAGTTGCCGCACTTTAATCCGCCTTAATACGAGACAAATTGTTGAGCTTGTGGATCAAAATGGTCAACTCAATCTTTCAAAATAAGTGAGTTAAAAAAATTTCCCGATAAATCAGGCTCGTTTTGCCACTCTTACACAAAGTTTAAAACCGGTTAGGTCAGGCCAAATTTTACCTTAAATGGACCTAACTTATTTTTAAAATATTGATTTACATTTTAAACACAAAATATATAAGCCTTGTCTATTTATTTTATATAGGTATTTTAAGGCTTGACTTAATTTTTTTAAAGGTTCACCTAACCTGAAAGCCTATTTATGTATATTTCATGGTAAAACCTTTAAGAATATGTATGATAATATATTTATATTTTTAATATAGAAAATAAAAATGGTTAAAATTTATATTTGATTAAATTGGTTTTATTTTATTTTAAATAATAAATTGGTTGTCGAGAAATAATTTTTTCTTAAAAAAACAAATTTTTGTAATTTCTTGTTCTGACACTGAAATCACTTGTTTTTTAATATATAAAAATAAAAGTAACCTTTTAAGAAAAACTTCGAAGATGAGCTTCCAATTTTTAACTTTTATCTTCTTCTTTTTTGGGTAAACAATAGGGTCAGGGGCCCAAGCACAAAGCAAACAAGCAATAAAATCAAAAAAAAAAAACTAACACCACCCTAACAAGAGTAAACTACCATACAATCTCTACCCACAGTAGCAAGGTCTGCTAGATATAAGAAATGAATACAATATAAAGGTTCAAGAAAAATGATTTCCTCTCTTTGATCCTTGTCATCTAGAATGAAGTTAGCCATCCAATCTGCACATATATTTCCTTCTCTATATGTGTTCTGAAAATGAACATTCCAGTTCCTGTTTAGCCATGTCCGTATACGAGAGACAAGATGAATCTCACAAACTGTTGCAATGTCAGAAGTGAGTATAGTGATTACACTACAAGAATCACTTTCAATAATTATATTTTTGATACCCTTCATTCAAAGCCAGTTCCAGGCCTTGAAGAATGCCCTAGAGCTTGGCCTTGAAAGACGAACAAACACTAATATGACGGGCAAAGCCTCCAAACTAATTTCCCCTTGAATCACGAAAAACACCCCTACACGTCGCTATTCCGAGATTGCCACGAGTTGCTCAATCAGTGTTGATTTTAATAAATCCCTCCTCCGGAAACTGCCAACAAATATTAGTAAGAATAGTTCCCATACCAGACAACTTACGAACCATACTATCATTCACTTTCCCACTTCCATTGTCAAATCCTTAATCACCTGAACCTTAACTTCCAAAGGAGGAACCCCACCACTACGCTGAACAGCATTCCTCCAATACCATATTTTCTAGCAAGTTAAAATAAACATTGATAGCCAAGAAACCAAAGTTTGTCCTAGAGAAATCTTATAAAGGTTCTCACCTATCCAATGAAATAAGTCTCCTCGGAAGAAACATAACACTTGAAGATTAGGTTTAAGAATCAACAAGATTTAAGACGCTCATTCACAATCTCTTAGAGCATGTACAATGGATTCATCTTCTAGCGCGCAGCATATTTACCCACCGAGAGATCTTTAGTCTTGTTGGCAACCTGTTATGGAGAATTTTTAACATATGTATCTTTGATTTTTGAGGGCCTTTCCAAGCCCACAGCCGATTCCACACATTCCTCGCCTCTACCTCAACGTTTACTTGGCTAGCTAAACAGTGATAGATATGATGCTTACCGAAACATTGGAGGCATCAGTAAAGCACCACATCCTTTTGTCGGGATCATCTTCAGGAGATGGAGGAAGAGTGCTTCGCAATGTTTCGATTACATTCTCAAGCAGCTGCTCCCTGAATACTTCAAAATTCCATGCACCAAATGGAGTGATCATGTCAGCCACCCTAATATTATCATCCAGAACCAGGCCATCCAATATAACTATCTCACCAAGCGAACCAAAACCAAGTAACCACATGTCCTTTCAGAAGCCGATCTCTTTCTCGTTGCCAAGAGCATAGGTTAGATGTCCTTCCAAAGTAGACCATATTTTACATAAGTTTCTCCACAAATTGGAGTCACCTATCCAAGATTCAAAAAGAGAAGAACTGTTTCTACTGTCCAAGTATTTTGTATTCAGAAATTGGGCCCAAAGATGTTTAGGCTCAGAATAAAAATTACATGCTCTCTTGGCTAAGAAGGAGTTATTCATCATATCCAATCTAAGTATACCCATACCTTCAACTGACTTTTGAGAGGTGATAACATCCCAGCTAATTAAATGTTGTTTCCTATGATTTTCATTGTCACCCGAGATGAAACTTCTTTGTATCCTATCAATGTCTTTCCAAACTAACAAAGGAATCTTGCAGCTCTGCATTTGGAAGAACGAGATTGCAGCCATCACCGATTGGGTAAGCATCCTTATGCA